ACCTGAGATGACATGATGTGAATTGGAGCTATAGAAATAAACTGAATAGAATTTAGAAGGAAAGCTGAATTTTCTGGTGTATTTCTGGATTCTCATGCAGGATTGAACTGAGTTTTTCAGTGTTTGGAGTTTGGAGCCACCGTCTCTCCTGGAAGCCAAACTCTGAAGGTGGGAGAACAAAGCAGGAGCCTTTTTTTATGGGCGGGTTTGACTTTGTTGCAGAGGAATGCAGAGAAACATGAGAGATAACGCAACCTTCTCCTCAAACATCACAAATCTTGTGAAAGCCATGGTGAAAAGTGCCTTTATGGTGATGTTCACCTTTCTAACCTTCTGTTTCTCCTCCCTGCAGGTAGATCTGTCCCCAACTCCTCATCATCCAATGGAGGTAAGTCAGGCTCCCTGCCTTCAGCATGTCTCCTCTTAGCTTCCAGTGCTTTGCTAAAATATGGCCACTCCTTCAACCTGTTCATGTTTTATTACAATCCCAAACTTCACTGCATTTCATTTGGATTGTATTGGATGCAGAAACAAGAAAGGTGCATAAATGCAAGGAGTAAATTAAGACACTTTGTTTTAGAAAATAATCTGGAAAAGGGATATGGGTTTAAGCCCTGTTTATTTCCGGTAAATAAAACACGATTAAATCAGTAATGTTCATTTTTAGTGATGCAGCTGTGATCTGATCTGGGCGTCAGCCGACAGGTCAGGGAGGAGATGTTAACCCTTCATAGGGACTCAGTGAAATATTTTGAAAATCCAAATTTCAACCATTAGTGTTTTTGGAATCCAGGAAAAGACCTTATTACCTTTGTAACACTAAAAAAATATGGATATTTAGGTGGCAGAAATTAATATCAATGTAATAAAAAGAAACGTCAACTTGTTCGAACATATTAAGAAAAATAACAAAGGTGCTTCTAGAAGAAATTTATGAAAAAGATAACCCTTAGCATTAACCTTAAAATTTTTACTTTACTTTTTTTTAGCTCTTTACCTTCCTTTTCTTGGTAACTTTTTTTCCCAACTTAATTTCCAGTTGGTAATACATCATTCAAGGGCTCATCTAATTGATCAAATGCCAAAATAAGTAGGGTTGGGACTTGATAAGATTTTCACGATTCCGATTCCTTATCGATTCTGTAAAAATATTCGATTCCTTATCGATTCTGTGAAACGATGAGCTCGTTAAGTTCACGGTGACGTTAGTCTATCTCTGCCTGCCTCGGTGGAAACAGAAGGCGGTGAACGGGAGCTGCAGCCTCTGATCCAGCCTGGCTGCCCGTCTCCTCACAGTCATCTAAATCTATTGGAGAAGGAATCCGTTCAATGAAAAAGTTTTACTGGACAATTTCTGGAACTAAACTCATCTCCCCCTGATTTAAATAAATGAGCGCCACCTTTCTCTGGCTCCCTGAACTGCGGAGCAACTTGGTAGCATGTTT